CTGTTTGACCTGAGAGATGGAGCTGATACTGATGGGTTTGAAGGCTTTTAAGGCTTGTGGGGTAATGCAGCAGAGGAGTTACCTTAAAATGGAAATGCTTTGTGCCTGAGGAGTACCAGAAGTGGCTGGTGGAGAAAGATCTTTAAAACCTCTCGATAACAGATACGAAGAAGGAGCATCAGAGCTGTTGTTCCAGCTTAACATTTACCGTGTGGAGCAGCTCACTGTGTGATGGTCCACACAGGCTGTGACACGTTTAAAAGTCTCTGTAGCCTTCTGTGAGCTTTGATGTCAGACTGCTGAATAGGAAAAGCCCTGCTGTAGTAAGCTGAATACTTGATTTGCACAATGCCTTGAATTTTAATGGTGTTGACTTGTTTCAAACCGCCAAAAAGCAGTTCTTTCAGATCAGCCTCTCAGACCTTGATGGACACAAAGAACTGCGTTGTTGTTTTTTAAAAAGGTTGATTTTATTACCAACCAATTCTTCTGTTTGTTTGTTTCCCTCATAATAGATTTACACGGATTGGGCTAATCACTATCTGGCAAAATCTGGCCATAAGAGATTGATAAAGGATCTGCAGCAAGATGTGACCGATGGAGTCTTATTAGCTGAAATAATCCAGGTTGTAGGTGAGTGACTTTCTCTTTTTGTACCAGCTCTCTTTTTGTACCAACTCACTCAGAAATACGCTGCCTTATCTTCTGTGTAAACACAGCCTGGGCTAGGGGGAAGATCATTGAACTGCATGGAATTACGTGGATAATTTTTCTCCAGAGACTTTGATAATTAATTTGATACTGTCTTGTCTTAAAGGATAGTGGAGAAGTATTTGATGTCGCTGATAAAATCTTCTGACACAGCAATATCAGTATGTGCAGCTGAATGTTAAAAAAGCAGCTGATGAGTTTTGTTTTTTTTCTGCCAGGATGTTAACCTTCACTGCCCCTGTTTCTGATACTTCTGTAGTGTTAGTCTGAACCTAATCCAGAGATACTGTTGCCAGACAAACCCCAGTCCAAATGAAGCTTAAAGACCAAGGTGGTATTAGGAAGCAGGCACCTGTAATACGGCGCTAGATGCACGCTGGGATCCTTCCACCTAATCGTGGACCTCAGCAGAACGAAGACATGTCCCTGATAGACGCGTGGGTGCACTATGTGTGGGTGCTCGGAGGGAGGGCTGCAGTGGTCATGAGATCCACACCCCATCTCTCCCATTCACATAACCGTGGGGCTAATCTCCTTTGTAGCAGGCTGGGTGGATATAATGTTCAAGATGCTCCTAAAAATACAAAATTAGCCATGCTGATATCAATAGTTGCCTGCTGCGTTGAACCTTCTACTTCCAGCTGAGTTTGGATAATCCATATATGCAGCTAGGAAATGGGAAGGAGTATGATTTTTATGTGGAAGAAGAACAAAATACAATGATTTTTCTGATGAGGAAGGTCATTTCTCATTAGGATGTATCTCAGATAGGAGCTCAGTTCTGCAAAGCCTATACTTCCCTTGGTTTGCGCTAATATTAGTAGATAATGAAGGTCTGAAACAATTTTCTACATTGGCCCCATGTAAAGCTACATATTCTTCTTCCCTTGGGCCTGCATCCTTCATTAGTTCCTTCAGAGAGTCATCCATCTGGTATTTGAGATGCCACAAAACACATGCGTGGGCCAATGGAGATTGATGGAATCAGAAAGGCTGCTAATGGGAATTAGGACGACCATTGTTAAAGACAAACTGACAGATTTGAGATGCAAATGAAGAAGACAGCAGTGAAGTAACAAGACATCAGTGCATGCATATTTATGTGTGTTTGAGAAGCTGTAAACGAGCTAGTTCCCTGATTTAAGGTACAAATCTGTAAACACTGTTCTGGGATGAAATAGTGCGGCATTGTTCCAATTCCTCCACTAGAGCTGTACTGCACTACAACAACAACAAGATTTCATTTCTGTATGATGCAGAGCAGCAGTAGGTCTGTGTAGCATTCCCCAGACCTGCCAGGCATCTGCGGATGTACAAAACCAGGCCAACCATTGACTGCGTGGTGAAAGGCATTCACTCAGAACAATGCTCCTCTCTGTATCTGTTTCCTTATGTCTGCATAACAGGGAAAATTGTTGGGAAGCCAGAGGCAGTTAGGTGTTCATTCCCTTCATCCATACCTAGCCACGCTGTGTTAACACTGATAAATATCAGAGTTTGCCTGAAAGGTGTATGTGGGAATGGCACCATCAAAATGTGAGCCTGGTTGCGACAAATATTGCTGAATGCGGCTGTTTTGTTTGTGGAACTCTTGTGACGTGCAGATTGCTCCCTCTAAAATTATCAGTAAACTTGATTCACCTTTACATTTTTTAACCATTCAGAGCACTGCCTTGCGACTCGTGTTTAGGATTAAACATGACACAGTACCAGACTCAGGTTTTCATTTTTGGGGAATGCTTTGCATGTGAAAGAAAGTTCATATTTGAAGGAACTCAGCTGAATGCTTCAAATGAGTAGTGAAGAAAATGTCGTTTATATCTGATGTGTATGGCCATAGGCACTGCATCTCATTCTCACAGATGGTGACAGTTTTCACACATGCAAGCAGTTTTAACTGTAACTTGCAAAATGCAATGTTTTTTTCTAGCAAACAAGACTACATACTGAGAAAGCTTTAATACACAATGTAGGAGATAGTTTTCATTTCTGTGCTGTGCCCCTTTCTGTGTAAAACCATCCATGAAGATACTCACTCCTTTTTGCCACCTGAGTGGAGTGTGTGGAGGTTATCCAAAGTCATCAGAGTTGATTTGGGTTCAGATACTAATGAGATATTTTTTTCTTGTGCTCTCAGCTGAGATTTACACTGCAGATATCGAACCTTGAAATGTCAGTTCCAAAACTCAGAGTAGTAAGGATGTGCTAAAACTAAGACTGGTAGGATTTTTCCTGCTGATGCCTATGATGTTGTAATCATGGGATATTTTAATTGATCAGACATAATCCAAGTCAGATAGAAAAGCTGTGCCTTTACAAAGAGGAATGCAGGCATGGAGTTATTGTTAAATCAGTAAAAGTAGTTGCAGTGAGAAGTAAAATGTGTACCTCTGTGTTGTGCTGGTTGTTTGGTACACACTAGTGACAATTTTATCATAGTTCATGGCAGACATTACACAAAGGTTCCTTTACTAATATCTGAGTAACCAATCAGGTCAAAATTCGTATGCAAATGTAGGAATTAGACTGCAGAACATTCATTCATGCATTCAAGAAAAAGTAATGCCATGTCCAAGCCTATGCCTGAAATGCTGAATAACGCTGATTAGTTGCTAACAAAACACTTACTGCATTGTTGTGAAGAGCACAGACTACTTTTGTATGGATGGTTTAACCCAGTTTTGTTCTCTGTAATGCTTAATGAAACTCTTTTGATTTCTTCTCACCTTATTTTTTCGTGCACTTGGAGTGTCACTTTCTGAAGACTTTTTCTTCCACCAGCAAAGCATCTCTGTATATATATATATAAATGGGAACCTGGCAGCTGACTGGCCGATAAATTTAAATAATTCTTTGCTACGTTTAATGGCACAGATTCCTTTTCACTTTTTTTTTTTTTTCATAGACTGCTGGCTTATAGTTTCATAATATGCCTATTTTCAAAAATGCATAAAACCAATTATTTTTCATGCTTTGATTCAGACCTGTTAGTGAAAGCCCAGTGTCACTCATTACTGTGTTTATTATAGATTACAGCTGGTTTCTTCTGGCTTAGCACAAACCCTCAATCTGTGTATAAATGAGAAAAGTCTGAAAATAAAAGCAGCTGAACCCATTTCACTGTATTGACATAATTGGATTGCTCTGGTTTTGTGAAAGCTGTGTGCCAAGGAAGAGGTGGGAAGAGTTACGAAGCCCCCAGTCTGGTACTGGGAACAAGGTGTACTCCTTGTGTTCTTGTTGTACGTGTTTTCACAGTCGTGATGTAAACAACGTGGAGGTCCTGACAGCCATTTTGTATGGCTCACAGTCATGTCAAACCTTGCCAAAGCAATGCCCATACGAGTGTTGTTGAGGATGCATGGCTTGTGGTTGTTGAGGCAAACCTGGAGCTCGTTGTAGACCAGCTTTCATAGCACCTGCACAAACATAGCAGAGAACAGTGATCTGGAACCCCTTTTAACCAAACATGCAATGAAGTCTGCTGGAAGGAAATGCCCACGGAAGGGATCGGGAGGGAAAGAAGAGGCACTGGGGTTGTTCTGCAGGCTTGCAGTCAGTTTGGGACAAATCCCCCAACATTTTACATGCCTTTATGAATTTACATCTTGCTGAAGGCTGAGGTACAATTTCAAGCCTTTGCGGTTGCCTGTGACTTCCAGCTGATGCTAGCTGATGTGCTATTTCTGCATGGCAGTGAGCAACAGGAGCTGTGAGAGCTGCCCATCGATCTCAGCCAGCAAGCTGTGCTTTTGCAGCTGTGAAGTTTGATGCTCTTCCAAGATCCCCCAGCACTCAGTGACTTATGCTTCAGACTGCCCACGAGCACAGCACACTGTGCTATTTAGGGAGCCTCATTCACTGGTATCTCTCCGACCTTCTCTGCAAGAAAGGCAAATAACCTCCTACTTGCTGCCAGCAGTGTTCCTTGGAGCTATGTGGGAGGCTCAGAGATGGACTCTAGCTTCCTGCCAAGGAATGGGAGCATCAAAGTGATTTCCTGATGAATTAGACAGATTCCTGCAAAATGCCAAATATGCCCACAGGCCTGCTTTGATGCCTTGTATGAATCCAGCCTTGTATGAATCTGTGACTTTTTGCCCTGCTTAATATAAACAAAGAGGTTGGAGTTGGAGTTCAGGCCAGCTGCCAGCTTGCCCCACTGCCAGCCTTGCTGCTTGCTCTCTATTACACTGCTTTTCATAGCGCTTGCACCTGTAGGGAAGAAGCAGTAATTGCTTTAATCTAAGGAAGGGACAAACCAAGGTGAGGTGGGAGTGGAGAAGGAGAAAAGGTTGTAGATAAACCTGCAGGGCAGATGACTTCCTGGGGGGAGGCAGACATAGCACCTGGTGGAGCAGGTTGATTGGGGCAGAAATTCCAGTTGTGGTTCATCTTCTGGTTCCTACAAACTGTTTCTGGTCACCTGCTTTGTCACCTGTGGAGAGAAGGCTGACGGCGTAAAAGGAATGCACTTCACATAAGATAATGCAGAATGGATGGAGAGTTGTCAGCTGGTGCACAGAAACCTGCAAGTTCACATATGAGGAAATTGCTTTGGTTTGAAGGAGGTTTTGAGAGGAAGCAAGAGCAGTTACTTAAGAAAATGTCAAGTGCAAGAAGATGGATGAAGCAAAGGAGAAACTACAAATTAGTTGATCCCAGGAGTACAGGGATGGCTCAGTGCATCTTGTACAGTGAGTGGAAGGTACACGGACAAAGTGAATCATTCCTAAGTGAAAACAGTAATGTTTTAACCACGCTGTGAAAAACGAAGGGGATAAAGAGGTAACATCCTAAAGCTATCATATATGTGGAATGCAGATTTTTTTTTCTGTCAGAAAACGTTGAGGCGTTTCACGCCTTCATTTGCCAGTAATGCTCCTGTGCTGTGGAACAGTGTATTTGTTTGCTTATAGGTGGAGTTTACCTTTGGTTCAGCTCTAGAACCAAGCACATACTCCTAGCCTGTGGATGTGTAGCAACATTCACAAAGTATTGAGTAAGTATTTGTTTTAAGTGGGAAAAAAAGTAAAAAGGAAAAATTCAAATGCTGTATTGCAGCAGAATCTTGGAAAGAAGACTCGCATGGATGAATCTGCATATTTTGCATACAAAAGTTTAAAAGGAAACAGATAATAAGCTTTATGATTTGCTAACATTGGTTTTAAATCCATCATGTACAATTTTGGAAGCTCTAGAGGAATAGGAAAGAAGCTGCTATTCATCAAGAAAGATAAAGAGACTGATCAGGGTTATTAGGGATATCTCTCTAACTAAAGAAGAGAGAAACTCATGCAAAACTTCATTATTCTCAAGTAATAATTATGAACAGTGCAAATTTAAATGCAAATTCATATGAATATGATCTTATCAAACTTACCTATTTTTCATAATAATTATAACTGCAGTTAATAAAGACCATGACACAAAACCAAGAGGCAGTAAATATTAAAAATGGAGGCATGAAATTTGTAAATGGGATCCAAAGTGAACGCTTCTGTTCCCATGTGGCCAAATCTGAGATCTCAGTTCTAGAAACAAACACGTCCTTATTGCATGTGGAGGCTGACAGACTACTCTGGGGGTCAGCACAATAGGCTCATCTGCAATCTTTTCAGATTGGCATCAATTCTTAATGTATTATTGTAAGAATAAAGTAGTTTTCTTAATTCTTTGTTTTTTAATGACAACTATTGGAATACTGTGCCAAAATTGGTATCTCTAGCTGAAGAAAGATGTAAAATTCGATGGAGTTCTCTCTGATGTCCTGAGAATACGTTAGGTAGAAAATATGTATAATGATAATAAACAAATTGATGGGAGGCAACTCTGTTCAATTCATCAGATGGGTCAGGAAAAGCTAACATTTGCAATTGGGCTAGAGAAAATGGCCTACAGTAGCACCAGGGGAGGTTCAGGTTGGGTGTTAGGAAACATTTCTCCTCCGAAACAAGGAGAAGGTGGAGTCACCGTTCCTGGAGGCGTTCAAGAGATGTTTAGGGATGTGGTTTAGTGTGGAAATACCGGTGGTAGGTGGATGGTAGGATTGAATTGTTGGAAGTCTTTTCCTACCTTAGTGGTTCTGTGTTTCGGTGATGTAATCCAGAAGGTTTAAGCACCTTTAGAACTTCTTTCTTCCTCTTGAGACTTAACCGTATCTTTCTGCAAGTTATGTTACAGGTGAGCCGTGGATAAAAAAAGACTGAAGTCTTGTAGGTTGAGCTTAAAAAAGCAAAATAGATTTCCCAGGGTTTCCCATCTGGTTTTAAAATCTATATTCACTTTACAAAGCATATCAATTGGCACACAAACAGAATGTACACACTTTTCCACCCAGCAGTGATTCAGTTTCTGAGATTAAGTCTTTCTGTAGTTGAAAGGAGCTGCCCGTTGGAGCACAGGAGGTTGTCAGACCAGTTGTTTTCTGGCTCCAGCTGTCTCTGGAGGCATGACCCACAAGAAAACTTCAGCTGCTTTTCTTTTCTTTCTGATGGTCTCGGTGTTCACACAGTCACTTTGATTGGACTGCGACAACCTGAAAGCCCTTTATTTAGCTAGCAGCACATGCTCTGTAAATAATTGGTATCATGTCCTTGGGTACAGTTTTGGCCTTATTTTTTGTCTGTGCTTTCCAGCAAATGAAAAGATTGAAGACATCAATGGCTGCCCAAAAAACAGATCTCAAATGGTAAGTGTAACGTGGCGTGTTGTTGGCATGGATGTGGCTGAGTATTGTGTGTGTTTGTGTGATTTCAGTATCTGAGATTTTAATACCCGTGTTAGCTGTTTTTCACAGTACTGAGCTCAGGTATAATCTGAAGAACAGAAACACTGCAGGTCTTTCTCCATTGCACTCCATAGAAATTAAATTGGGCCTTATCATTTATCACATTTATTGCTATTTTATTTTATATTTTGGAAATGCCAAATAGTTAGAGGAAGGTAGAAAACAAAAGTGTTATTCTTCTGTATAGACAGGAGTATTTTAAAAGCAGAAATAAAGATTTATTTTAAACTCTGCTATGTTCCTATGTCCTTTGGAAATGAATAGAGTAAATTAGCAGAATGTACTAAAAGAAACAAAGATTCCAGTTGCAAAATATGGGAACTGTTTATGTAACTTGTTTCTGATCGAAATGTTTTAGTTTGTAAAAGGAGTAGTTTTGTCTCTTGCTTGTACATAATACTTAAAAGCAAAGAGCCAGAGGTTAGTACAAAAAAAGTAAAAGCAGATGGTACCTCAAGAGCATATCTGCTGTGAATACTGGTGAAGCTACACTTACAGGCAGAGCTTTGGTGAGAAAGAAAGTAGTAAGAAACTGATTCTTAAAATGTGTCTTGGGAGACGAGGGCTTAAAATTTGTTGTTTTAAAGAAGGTTATTTCCTTCTATATCTCAAGGAAAAAGCTCATTTTACAGTTCATATTCTAAAAAATCCCCCTTTTGCATTGTAATTCTCACTTTGGGTTTCTTGAGTCTTATTTTTGCATGTGAAGCTATTTTTTATGGCCTCTTTCCCAACTGTCCCCTCCTCCCAGCCCAAGCAAAAGACGTTAAAGGTTTGGTGCAAGCTTGTCATCTGAAGACAGGAACAACACTGTGTTCTATGGGCTTTTTTTTTTTTCTTGTAAGTTATCAGTCTCGCTCAAATCCACATAGCCAGCACTCCTTAAGAAGAAAGTCATCTGAAGGATTTATCACTGCTGCTTTTACTGCTATGAAGAGATTGGTTGCTATTCTTGCTGTAGCCACAGCAGCTGTCTGCAGTACAAATAATTGAGGACATTTTCACAATTACTATCATTTAATGTTCCACAAATGCATCATAAGAACTGAATTTCATTGAGGACGGGAGCTTATCTCAAATTCCTTAATACTGTAGCCAAAAGTTGCTTCAGGTCCTTACTCTCTATGAAGGCACAATGTTTGGCTTTATCTCCTGTTGCTTCCAAAGGTCAGCTCTGGCCATAGAGGCATGCAGAGGGTGCATGCTGTGTCAGGAGTAAGGAAGTTTTCTCTGCTCTTCCTCCTCCAAGGCTCTGCTTTTATTCTGGTCCCTTATTCAGGAGGAGAGTAGGGCTGCCCCTTCTGTGGCACCCTGCTCATGTTGCCAAGTTGTTGGTTGTAGTAAGGCATCCTGGGTGGCTTGTGTCACAAGAGAACATGCTCGTGGCTTGCTTTGATAGGAGTGTGCATGTTGGCCATGCACGCTTACAATAAAGAATAAAGCAGAAGGGTTGGAAGTGGATAATGTTTAAGGCCTCCTCCAATCAAAACCCTTCTAGGGTTCCATTCTACTATTCTGAGAACACAAGTATTTTCATGGAGGTTGTCCTTAATGCAGTTGCTTGCAATGTATAAGGAGACAACTCTTTCCCAGGTCTTGCATTCTGGGGAAAATGAATGTGTTGCTTATTTATTAGATATGGCAATCTTCATCCTTTTCATTTATATATAGTTACCTCTTAATATAGCTCACCTGCCTGAGCAGCCAGCCCTCGGTGTGCGAGCTGTGTTTGTGTCTGGAACTTCTTACATACAGGACAGAGCTGTCTCATGTCTAATACTCAGTTGGGCCGAGTGATGTTTAGTCTTACTCTTTCAAATGAAACCTCAAAATCTTTCCCATGTTGTAATGTCTGTAAGCTGGACATCACATATGAGTAGATGAAATAAAGAGGTAAATAAATAAAGGCACCGTAAATGAAGCTTTGCTGGTGGGCTCACCAGGGCTTGCAAGCTGAGCACTGAAGATGCATCTTCTTGGAAAGCTGAGGTGACTCTGTGTCTTGCCAGCCCACTAGGACCATGTGAAACTGGGTGGATTTGCTTCCATTTGGAGTGGTCCTAAACCAGTAAAGCTTGCCAAACCTTAGAGAGCTGAACACTGAGCCAGAGCAGGTCTCTTTCTATTGCTGTTTCCATCTCTACAGAATGTTGGGCAAATCATCATGTGGATTTGCCCAAACTGAACACTTGTCAAATTAAGTTTGGTGCAGAACCATTTGGGACCATCAATACCTGTCAGCCTAGTCTCGGTGCCAGGTATGACATGACAAGGATAGCTGTGTGAGAACCCAGACCCTATTCTCATCTCCTTTGGGTTTTTCTGTGGTTGGAAGTATCTCTTTCTCCTTTGTCTCCATATAAGAATCAGCTTTAAAAAAAAAAAAAGGTATGTATTTTTATATATATATAAATAACCTCTTACAGGCAATTTTACGTATTTCCTCTACATAAGAACTGTTTTCTCTCAAAGCTTCATATTTTTGTACTGTAGATGCTTTTCTAAACAAAAGCTTATAACTGTAATGATTGGTTCCATCTGGCATGCAGAAACTCTGTGGTTAATAGAGGATGTAGTAGTACGAAATGTAGGTTCTCAGGCCAGGAAAATACGGAGATGATCAGCACAATTGTTTTCTGGTTTTTGGAATGAAGTATAAGAAAACATTGGCATGGTTCTTGAGAACTGGGCGAAGGAGAGTAAAACAAAGCTGGTTTCCTCTCCTACCCACTTCTGATAAAAGGCTGAGATTGATAAGTACAACTGGGGCTTTCTCTCTGCTGATGTGTGGTTACAGAAGAACAGGGATGTTTTTCTTTCTAACAATTTATTTTGCCTCTTGTTTTGGAATGATATTTGAGCACAGCATTTGACGTCCTGCAGAACTGGGACAATATACAAGGCTCTGCATTTTGATGCATCCTTTTTGCATAGCACTGAAATAAAGGAGAGGGAGAGAGAGAGGTAGTTGTGTTATCTGGTAAATACAATAGATGAATTGTAACATACAGAGTAAGAGCGCAGATGAGATGCTATCAGAAAAAAGGAAAGGAGGAGACATTTTGAATGATGGGAGATCTGGGACGAACAAGGTGAAGGAAAAGGATTTGCATCAGCCGCAAAAGAAGTGACTGGGGAGGGAGCTGAGTAAAGAAAGTTAAATATTAAAACATGGACTTGGAGACAAAGCAGAGAGGAGATGCTTGGAAGTGAAGCGGTGCGTTGGCAGACACAGGCGACAGCTGACACTTAGCCAAGGATGGGGCTGGAAGGAGAGATAAAGCAAGTAGCAGCCATTTGTCATATAGGAGGGGTACAGGGTGTGTTTTCCATCTCGCATGCAAAACTGAGAAACACTGAATGTGACAGTAGAAAGAGATATAGCAGTACATGTTTAAGAAAAAATGTTGGAGAAAAGACTGATGAGGGAAAAAACTTGATTTTTCAAGGATCAATGTCATTTTGTTTTGTAAAAGATTTTTTCATCGCTTTAGATAAAATGTTAGGTGTGAAAGTTGGTGGAGTGATAGCATGTTGCCCTTGCTGCCGAAGGAGTGGAGCAGTGGCAAAGCTGTCAGTGCCAGAGGGAGAGGAGCAGGAGGATCTGTAGGTGGGGGAAGGAGGCCCTCATCTGTTCGTGCCAAGCCTGGGGAAGTTGTGGGATGCCCGAGGCAAGAGTTTGAAGAAAGCAGTATGCATATAGGCTAAACCAACCCCACACTTTCCCCTCATAAACAGGGTCGGAAGTAACTGTGGTTTCCGTATTGGTTTGTGGTTAGGTTTTATTCTTTCTAGGAGTGATCACTTTGTGTTTATACAAGAATGTATGTTATCAAGTAACAAAGAGGAAAGGTTTCTTTTGATATGTGTGTCTTGACCAGAGGTTTTTTCAGGAGCCATTCCTTTCTGATGCAGGCATCAAGCTGTACTGATAAAACAACGCTGCTCTGTTTTTCTGCTTGCAAACGTGAAGTCTTTTCTGCAAGGACAAGGACTATGTCAAGACAAAAAGTGCTTGTTTTCAGTTTGTTCATTTTGTAAGGAAATTGCTGTTTTAGTATTTGACTTATTACTTATATTCTGAAAATGAAATGTTTTGGACACACAAAGCCAAAGAATAGGAGCTGGTCAGCCTGGAGGAGCCCCTGCTTTTAAAGTGAGCAGTGCAGGAAGTTTTAGTTCATTTGCTAAAACTGATGTGTTCACATCTCTCCTCAGCATGCCCCCCAGTCTGAGCTGAGGATCTGTGGGAAGGATCAGAAGCATCACAAGCATTTCTTCCCCCTGCAAATTCCTGCTCTGAGATTTTTGGACAGGCATCGCAGTGGTTAAATATAGCTGTGTATTTTCAAGTAAGACTTGTCCAGCGTTGACCTGAGAAATGCAATAGGGGGAATTTCAGTGCCTGCTGCTCGGTCTTCCCTAGCTTTAATGGGTGAGCTTTGCATTATGGTCAGCATGTGTTTACAAGCTGAATGTTGCTGTAGTGACAAATGGGTATCTCCAGGCCCTGACCCTCATGGTACTTGGAAGGGCTGCGGTCAGCTGGAGCAGACACCAGCCTCACTCCATAGGCTGCTGTAGGAGATATGTGGCCAAGTGTGCCTGGCATGTTTAGCTCTCAGAGCATTTGCTCTCACCTTCCTGGATTTCTTCTAATTGTGTACGAATTTAAAACACAATTTTTTCCTCTATAGGGGAGGCATTTATTCCCTCCTTGGAACTTCATGTTGTGCTCTTTCCTTCTTTTTTCTTTTTCTTTTTTTAACTGTTGTGTTATTGTGCTTACCGTCTGTGTATTGCTATTAGTGAGACATGCATGTAGTGTCACAAGGGTTTTAGCCCATCCCAGGAGAGGAAGAAGAAAAATATCTTTACAAGTCTGAGGGTACGCAGAAATA